TGGGATGCCAGCAGGACATGCAGGGCCTCGCATCTGCAGCTCACTCCTCACCCACCAGCAGGGCCTGAGATGGGCCTTCCCACGTGTCTGGGGTAAAAAGAAACCATTCTGGCCCAAGAGAGGAACCTGAGTCACCACACCGAGGGGTTGGCCAGGATGCAGTCTGCCTCCATACCTCTTATGCATTCCCAAAATCAGCACCTTGAACTTCATCAGTTATCAGGATGTGTGACTTTAAAAGTACATTGCGTTTCCCTGGTGTGTGAATAGTCACAGTGCTTCTCAGATAGAAAACGCTGGATCATCCCCATGGAAGCCTATACTGTGTCCCCCATATCCATTTAAGTTCCTTCCCTTCCACCTGGATGGTCTTTGCGTCTGCTGTAATGCCTCAACTGTTGGCGTGCTTTCAGAGTGAGCATCACACCCCATAGGTCTGCCCACCTTTTAGCTTAACATTCGTTAGCTACACCTTCATGTTGTCAGCAAAATTGGATTTTTCAAGAAAGAATTCTATTTCAAATGCACTAGAGGGAGCTTTCTATATAGTGGAGGCTTTAAATAAATCTTTTTACATTGAGCAAAGCCTTTTATCTGGTGAAGGAGGACACACACCCACCCTACCCTTCCTTGCCCCCACCCCCAACAGATGTTTGATAAATGCAGATTCTGTGTTCATGCACCACATGAGGACACAGTGCTCTGGGAGCACGAATGGGGCCGGACCCGGCGTCCGCCCTTCGCCAGCCTCTCCCTGTGTCTTTCTGTCCCTTAGAAAAGGTCTCACAAGTGAGTTCTATTAAAACTTCTCTTTCTACACACACTGCAAATGACTAATTATTCTTAATTCTAGCAGACACGAAGACATGAGCCATCCACATCAGGCAATTGATTTTACTTAATAAATCCATTACTTACCTAATTTTAGTGCTGTACACTTTTTAAAGCATTAATTTAATTTCCTCTACTGTTCAATTTTGGTTTCAGGCTAAGTATAATTCTGAGATATCTTTCCTGAATTGCTTCATATTTTGAAAGATATCTCAGAATTATTCTCTAGGGGTAACCTACTGAGGCTCTCTCTTTCCTGTTTCTCACAAACAATAGTCCAAAAGGGTATCACATTGCAGTGAAATAGGAAAGAAATGTTACTGGCAGTATTTTATCAAGGATCATGCCATAGCTTTGGGAGACAACCACTGGTCATTATTGTCTCCTGAAATAACTGCCTACATGTGAGAAGGGCCCTTCCTCCTGGCCGGCATCTGTGTCATCTTGCAATAGCCCACATCCCATAAGGATGATCTCTGATTAGTGACTGTAAGGTATTGAAGACTTTGATACCGGTTTTATCATACTGACAGTCCTGCAGAATTAAATAGCAATTGAAAGTTGTTTTAAAAAAATAGTTTCAAGGACTAAAAAAAAATACCCTAAGAGTACCCTAAGCAAACTGAAAAAAAGAGAAATGCTTTTGTTTTGTTTTAATTTTGTATCCCAGATGAACTCCTTAATATTGCACTTTGAAAAGACTGAGATGCTCTCTAACTGTTGAATCAGACTGTGTATCCCACACCTGATTCTCCTGACATTCATGACTCCTGGGTCAGGAAGTGAGTGGTTACTGTGGAAGATAAGGTTGTTCTCCTACCTGGAAAGCCAGTGTGGCATGTGATTGATCAGATTTAGTCTTTGCCCAGAAGAGTTTTATTCATCTGTGAAATAGCTTGAGCATCTAATATATTTTGCAAATTATAGCATAATCACACATCATCTCTTGAGACCCTCACAAGGACCCTTGAAATAGGAGGGTAAGGCGCATTCTGAGGTGAGGCTGGCTGCCAGATTCCCTCGCTCAGCACCTAACTGGAAGAGAGCAAAAAGGAAGCCAAGACCTTTACTCCGAACCCAAACAATCCTACATAACCTAGTACAACTCAACGCCTGATAGCCACCCAGCGTACTCTGTTTAACTGGTCTCTCTGTTTGGGAACAGTGTCTAAAAAGTCAACGGACATCTTACATTTTTAATTACTAAGAACCAGTTCTAATAGGTTTGTGTATTAGAGCCCAGTATCCCTGCAGCAAAGGGCCAAAGATACATCGATCAGTGTGCTCTGTGTGTGCACCTGAAGCTCTGTGGCATGCAGGAGCCTAGTCAGTACCCTCCTCGCCTATGCTTCTGCACCTGGCTTGACCCCCTCCCCACTCAGACTAGCAGGACTCCTCAGAGATGTCATTGTGACCTTTGTGAAACAATTATGACACCCCCATGGTATATTTAGTGTGTATACTTCTCCAGCCTATGAGCAGTTATTAACATGGCCAACAGGCTAGCAGAATGGCCTACTAAATGGGAGGGCAGATAGGCAGCTGGCAAGATGACTTCACTGTACATAGAAATACCTTTCACCTATTTTTACTTCAAAGCTATTTAGTTATGCAGTTGTTCTTTACACGTCGTAATTAAACAGCAAAAGTCTTGCCATTTCTTCTGAGTAAATTCTTAAGAGTCAGTCAGGCAGAATGTGGGGTGCTGGTGGCCATGCACCCTTTCTTTGGGTGCACCCATCTGTGATCTGCGTCCAGCTTGGGACTCTACCCCCAACTTGGGATGCTTGAAGGATGGACACTGTGCGTTGCAGCTTATTTATCCTTCTGTCTGCAGTTGTGGCACTTTTCACACTTAAAATTAAATTGCAGCAAAAGTTCTATGTGCAAAGTGTCCAGAAGCTGCAGCTCCTACCAACAGGTACCATCAGGGCTGTGTGACGCTGGACTTTATGCCAGCGCTGTTGACACACAACTTCCACATGTGTAACTGAAGCTAGCATCCCTCTTTCTCTCTGGCTCATTCACTCACACTCCATGGAGGGCCTTCACTTTCTAAGGCAAATCTGTCTTTTGGAGAAGACTCTTCCTTTCCTTGTTATCACCATAATCTCCTCCCCAGTGCCCCTCAGCTGTCCCTGCCTCTTCTCCCTATCTGCTGGCTACTCTAAACTCAGGCCCTTTCTCTCTGAACTGGTTGCTGGTACCTTGTCCTTCCACCTCCTCTTGAGCCACGTGTCCATCAGGAGGTCAGGCCACACCTGGGAGACATCACTGACTTCTCCACTGCCACCTGATAAAGCTATAGAACTACAGAGTGAAGAAATCAAGATAACTTTGGGGATTTTCAAATTTTCTCTCTGAATTTGATGGTTGAAGGGCATGGCGTGCTCTCAGGCCATGGCAGAAAAGAAAGGCCTGGAGCTCTCTGGGTGGCCTCCCAGGCAGGACCTCTCCTCGGGTCATCTGTGACTCACGCCATCTTGCCTGGGTGAGTCTGGGCTCTGATGACCATGGCCTCTTCCTCCCCATGGCGTTGGGCAAGCCATGGGACCTAGATGAGTCTCATTTTCCTCATTCACAGCAGAAAGACCATAGTTCTAATCCCCACTGCGTTCTGGTAAAGTTGAGATGAAACAGAGCACACAAAACACCAGGCACCTGTCTGGGCTTGCTCAGTCAGTGGGTTCCTAACCCGCTTCAAAGGTACTCCCCTGCTCTCAATTGCTGTAATGTCTGGTGTTTCATACTGGTGGTCGTGTCCCACCTCCCCCTCTAAACTGCAGCAAGCTGGAGATGCTGGAACCCTCTGTACTAAAGGACCTAGAAAAATGGAAAACAAGAACATATGTTGAATTAATGATACAGCTAAAATGTAAAACTTGAATAGCATTATCTGCATGCAACCACATCACCTGCCACAGAAGAGGTGCTGTCTACAAGGAGGATGGAGCTCTCCGTGAAACAACTAACCTGGGAGTGTAGCCATGGGCACTTTTACTTCGTCTAAGAATGCGGAACGCTCCATTTTAAAAGACAGGGAAGCCGGGCTCGGTGGCTCAGCCTGTAATCCCGCACCTTTGGGAGACTGAGGTGAGTGGATTGCCTGAGCCTGCGGGTTCGAGACCCGCCTGGGCAGCGAGACCTCATCTCTACAATAAATCAAAAAATCAGCCGGGCGTGGTAGCGCATGCCTGTAATTCCAGCTACTTGGAAGGCTGAGGCGGAAGGATCGCCGGAGCCCAGCAGGTCGAGGCTGCGGTGGCCAGGAGCGGCCACTGCACTCCAGTCTGGGCGACAGAGTGAGACTGCAACTCAAAAAAATAAAAAATAATAAAAAACAATAATAAAAATAAATAAATAAATAAAAGACAGGGAACTCTATCTACGTGTAAAAGCCAGTATTTTAGCCGGATACAGTGGCTCACCCCCGTAATTCCAGCACTTTGGAAGGCAGAGGTGAGAGGATTACCTGAATCCAGGGGTTCAAGACCAGCCTGGGCAACTTGGTGAGATCTCGTCTCTACAATAAATCAAAAAATCAGTCGGGTGTGGTGGTGCATGCCTGTAATTTCAGCTACTTGGAAGGCTGAGGCAGGAGGATCTCCTGAGCCTAGCAGGTCAAGGTTGCGGTAGCCTTGAGCATGCCAGTACACTCCAGCCTAGGCGACAGTGAGACTCTGAGTCAAAAAATAAAAGCCAATATTAACGTTGAGTCAAATTAGCCTAAATTAGTCTGATTTTGTATTTATTTAAATAAAAATAAACTTCTGTGACCAAAATTAAAGTATATAGATTGCTTCCTATGATTTAAAACATTCTTTAAAATGATGCGCGCGCGTACACACACACACACACACACACACACACAACTAGTAAAACCTTGGTCTCTAATGACGATGGCTTGCAGTTGGTAAGTATCTATATAGGCATCTTATAACAATGTTTCAGCCCAGCTTTCCAGAATTAATGCTAATGAAAGCTGCCCTCGCCTTATTTTTCTATATGAACACTGAAATTGCAGCTGCTTTCCGAGGCTGCTGAGGGATGAGTGTAATAATTTTCAATTGGCCTCTTAGCCTAAAGGGAACCTCAACAGCAGGAGATTGACAGATGCAGCGTGGATTATCTTGTGCTCTGAACTCAGCCCAATTTGTGGTTTGTTGCAGGTGCTAAAGAGATTGATATCGCAGCGACCCTGGAGCACTTGAGGGACCAGAGACCCAGCATGGTCCAGACAAAGGTACTGTCAGTCAATCCCCCGGGACTTTAGATATATGAAGGTGTCTCTCTGCTGCTGTTTTCCAGAGAGGAGAGTGGGGATGAGGCCTGATTTAACATAAGCCACATGCTGATTGCTCTCCTCCGACCGACTGTGGTTCACACCAGTCCTGCGTGGGTAAAGGCACATCTGGGCTCCTCCCAAGAGGTCCACTAGTGACCTCCGTAGCAGCGCAAACATCTTCCACACCAATAGATGCGGTCAAATCTCAAGTCGTTGAAACTCAATTAATTGGAACTTTCTATTCACCAGATTTGAGGGCAGGGAAGATCACTGCATTTTTATAGAAAGAGACAAATGGTAAATCCCAGAATCCTTCTAGAAGAATATTCCGAGCTTACTAAACACTCTGCCCAGCCTCCTCTGTGTCCTGCATTCACATCTGCAGCTGTGCCGTGTGGAGGTCACCAGGACAGTGGCCATCAGAGTGTCCCAAGGACATGGGGTCCTTGACACCTCAGAATAGCTCTTACTTACTGAAAAGGCCCAGTGTGCAACAACAGGGGTAAAAATAAAAGATCTCTGGTCAGCTAGTTCTGGTTAACTAGAAGTGAGGCTAATATAATATCCTGTCCCCTTAGCATTCTAGTATCTATCCCTTTGGCCTGTTTCTTTGTTTCGCTTTGCTCTCCATATATAATTTGCAGGATCATCATGAAAACATGATGTGATTGTTGTGAAAGTACTTCGGAAGTCACAGCACACTTATATCTTTTTAGTTTTTTTCAATTTGGAAATTATATCAGACTTGCAAATCATCACAGAAGTAATGCAGATACTTCCCATGGATCCTTCACGTGGGTTCCCCAAATATTAACACCTGTTATATAACCGCAGTGCAACTTTCAACACCAGGAAGCCAGCATAGATACAAACCACCAATTCACCAATAGATCTGATTGAATCTCCTTCACAGCCCAACAGTGACCTTTCTTTGAGGCAAATTTGCTCAGTACATGGCACGTGAAGCCATCACATCACCTTTATCTTCTGTGTTCTAGGAAAGCTGCGCGGCCATGTAGTCTTCCAGAGAGAGCCGGTGGCCTTGTTCTGTTTCTGCAGTGTTCTCGGTTTGGGTTCGTCTCACACGCCCATGATTCGCACATGGAGAGTGTGTTGGGCGGGACCCATCACCCACTAAAGGGCATGTCTGCAGGTTTCTGCATGGCTAGGTGATTGTTTTCTTTTTGCAACGACTCAGTGTCTCACACAGAGAAACCTGGGGCTGTGGACACATCTGGTTTTTTTGCACTGCTCATCACAGCACTGGGTACATGTTGGGAGGCCCTCAAGAGAGGAGACAGCGCCAGGAACAGTGGCTGTGCCAGTGACAGCAGACCCCCATGTGTTATGCCTGTGGAAAGGTCCATCCTGCTGACTGACAGTCGCCCTGAACCCACCACCTGGCTGTCAGTCCAGGAAGACAAGTCAGCTCTCACCTGCCACTGGCCCTGCATCCTGGGACCCAAGTGCCTCAGGTGGTCAGAACTGAGCAGAAGAGGCTGTAGAGACCGGGAGGACAGGACACTCTTAGAACCAGGAATGAAAAGTGAACTCCAACTCGGGCAGATGTTATCTGACTCCACATCCGCATCAATGCCCACTGTGGGATAATCCATCGGAAATCTTAAATTCAAATGCATTTCTTCTCCCCTTGCCTCTGTCCACCTCTCAGGTGGGCCCTTCCCTGCCAGAGGGATAAGTAGGCCCAAGGTACAAGCTGTCTTTGGTATGCAGCCTGGCAAAATGGTTGCAAAGAGATATCTTCTTGCCAAAAATGAAAAAAAGTGCCTAATACATTGCAGAAAGCACCCTGCAAGGCTCTGTTGTCTGTATTGCATTTGCCAACACAATCTGTTCCAGGCCCAAAAGGGTGGTGCCAAGATCCTTTCTCAACTGGGGTACTTTGGGATTTCTCAAAGAAAGATGAAGTCATGTTTATTTTCATTACATGTCATGTATTCGATTATATTCTAATTTTTAAGTGGCAAAATGATAAAACTTGCACGTGGTAGCACCATTAACCAGGCTACCCGGTGACCCAAAGCTCCAATTATCTGTTGCTCCAGAAAACAGAGAGGTTGCCTTCCTTTCAGGCTGATTGTCCGCAGTAACTCACCCTCCTCAGACTGGCTGTTTCACAGTTGTCTTCAAGCATGTACATACATTCAGCTCCTGGAATTTCAAGGCATAAAGAAAGAGTAAAGCACCTACAAGTCGCCATTCTGCCTTAATTATGACAGCATTGCCCAACACTACCGCATGAGACAACTTCCCGCAAACGTTCAGTTTCACAAAAGAAGAAAAACGGTATGGGCAAACTAGTGCCGTCCAAACTGAATACTCTTTTCTACAAGCCAAGAGAAGAGTCTGCAGTCTGTTCATTTGAACAGATTAGTTAAATCCCTCTCTTGGAAGTGAAGCTGCATCAGGAACAACCCCTCAACGGTGACACCTGAAGACCTCGAACCAGGATGGCAACAGAGCCCCAGCAGCAAAATGTCATTTCTGTGTTTAAAAAAAAAAATCAAGTCTCAGACTTGTGCCATTGCCATGTCTCTAGTGATCCCAAAGAAGTTCCAGAACATTTTGTGAGCACTCACTCCCAACATAGATGGGGGACAGAAAATAGCATTTGCCATAACTGCCACTAGAGTTGTGGGTCGAAGATATGCCCGTGTGGTGTTTTGGAAAGCAGACACTGACCTCACCCAGGGGGCAGGAGAACTCACCGAAGATGAGATGGAACATGCAGAATCCACATCAATTCAAGATTCCAGGTTGGTTTTTGAACGGAGAGAGGAATGCAAAAGATGCAAAACACAGCCAGGTCTTGGCCAATGGTCTGAACGACAAGCTCCGTGATGACCTGGCAGGACTGAAGAAGATCCCGGCGGCCTGCAGAGGGCTGTGCCACTTCTGGGGCCTTCGTGTCCAAGGCCTCCACCAAGACCGCTGGGGCCATGGCTATCCCGTGGGTATATCCAAGAAGAAATAAAGTCTGTAGATCTTGTCTGTTAATAAACAGTTTATATATCAAAAAAAAGAGGGGCTCAGGATAACTGTCTCCCTCTCTGGAATCTGGGTCGGTCAAACAAAAAACAAATATTTAGTGAACATTGGCCTGAGGAATAATGCAGAGAAGTGTCACACTTGGTCTTTGATGGACTCAGTCACCTAGGAAGACAGAGCTGGACTCCTAGAAGCTGAACAGCAGCACGAGGATTATACACAACACAAGCCTTTGGAAGAGGAATGCTACACATCCGTAACAGACACATAGGACTTTTTTTTTTAAGAGATGGTGGTCTTGCTATGTTACCCAAGTTGGTTTCGAACTCCTAGACTCAAGCTGTCCTCCCACCTCAGCCTCCCAGAGTGCTGGGATTACAGGCATGAGCCACCATGACTGGCAGGACACTTGTTTTTAAGAAGAGAGGCAAAATTGCAGGCTGTGCTTGAAATCACACACTTCCAAAGACGACCGTCTCTCTTCCCCTCGGTGTGTTGTTTTAAACAGGTTTTTCCCTTCCTTACCACTCCGTGAATCGTGTGAAAGTTGCTCTTTGACCAGAGGCCTTAACACTTCCCTTCCCGTAACGATATTTCCTCTTTTACATCTGCCACTTCTCGGCATAAAAGCCAATGAGTCGTTTGTCCAGCACTCAAGAAGCATCACGTCCTGCTCGCCCATAGGGAAGACCTCTTGCGTGTATACATGTGGTACTCAGTGGAGCACTTTCCCTACCTGTCTCATCTCTGCGTTTTAATTTCATCCTTTCTCATTTTCTGCTCCTCAAGACTTCCCTCAGTCTCCTCATCAGACCTGCCCTGATTTGGGTCCTCAGTCCCTGGAAACAGAGCCTTGTTCTTAGGCATATTCATATTGTCCCAGCACAGCACCAGGCCAACAGACAGCGAGCAGTGGCCACTCCATGCCCTCCGGTCACCCCCAGACCCTCAGCTTGCTTCATCAAAACCCTCCATGCCACTGAGCCCATTTTGATCTCTCTCTCTCTCTCTCTCTCTCTCTCTCTCTCTCTCTCTCTCTCTCTTTCAGTCTCTCCATCTCCCTCTGTCTCTCTCTCTCTTGACCCCTTGTGTGCACATACACAGTGCCTAGTCCCTGACTTCTGCTGGGTTCTGTGATCACAGTCTAGCTAGGAGCTGGTCTACTTTTATCAGAAGAGAAGCCAAGGATGAAAGGCACGCATAGTATTCTGTCCTAACCCTCTTTTAAGACAGATGTTGGGGGAGGTGAATCCCTAGAGAAGGTGTTTGCAGATTCCTTGGAGGGCAACAGTCGCTCAGCTGCCACACTTCCTGTGGCTCTCTTTAAAGTCGGGAACGATGACAGTTAGAATGACAGCAATTCAAATCTGCGTCAATCCACCCAGAACTTTGTTGGAGCCAGAGGATTACAAATATAAGCAAAAGTATGAATATAAACCTAGAAAGCCTCCTAGCTAGACCCTGCATTTCCAGAGTGCTTTGGCCTGGATCCTGGTAGAAACACCTGGCACAACTGGTGTCTGAGAACCACAGACACCCTGTCACCTCCATCCCTCCAGCCTGGCTGCACACATGTTCTGGCAGTTGTCACAGGCAGGCTTGAGGAGAGACATTGTCCATGACTCACTGTCCGGCGTGGACCTAGGGATGGTGACTGGACACCCTGACCCAGCTTGAGCCCAGTTGGGACGTCCTACCTCGACTCCTTCTCCAGGCTAGTGGGGTGTGGGAGAATTAAGCTGGAAGAAACTGTAAGATCCATCTCTTGAAGCTCTCAAATTTTATTTTAGTATATGTTAAAAAACACTTCCTAGCACAGAATATCTCAGCCCTCTTTCTAATATCCTGTCTTAGCAAACCCAGCCAACCCAGACACTAAAACCAGTAGACTCTGAACCATTCCTGCTCAGACCACTCACACCTCAAGTTTCAGTTTAGACTAAAGTGGTTCTTTGGTGCTCCTACTAGTATTGCTTTTCACCGCTTAAGCATGTGCCTGTTGTTTTAATGTTTCCCTTAAAATAAACTCCTATCACAAAGGATTTCAAACGCTGGCTACTTCCCTGCATGTAGGCAAGGTTGCTTTCCCAATTTCTGAGGTGCCATCTGCGTACATTCACTCAAGCAGAACTGCTCAAAATGTGGCAACAAACCACGGAGGGTCCACACACTGCACCGCCGTGCCACGTCAGCACTGCTCACAGCTGACACTCCAACAGGAAGGACAAGTTGACTCACCAGCGCTGTCCCCTCATGCACTGGCTCTGAGGTGCACGGCCACCCTGGGAAGTGTCTCCCATCCTGCCAGCAGGTGCCCAGTGGGCTCCAAGTAGATCTGCACTGTGACACACAAGCCCACTGTGTGACACTTGACCTTTCTCTCCTTTGGGCCTCACAATGCGGTAACAATTTTAAAACTTTGATGATAAATACATCGACTATCTCTATGGTCCAGTTCCCTCTCTGCTGTTTTGTCCTGTGGATTTACAGTGTTTTAAATAATTACGATCAAAACGCTGGTGCGCTTCTTCATGTTGTCGCCTTATCTGGTAGCATAAATATTTGGCTTTCCGGTTGGATGCTTTTAAGTGGCTGCATAAGATGACAATCGGCTCTATAAAATTACCTACCTACCATTGGCATTGAGTGTTTTCCAGTTTCCACTGTACAAATAAGGCTGCAGTGCATATCTTTGTGTTTGTGTATTTTTCCCTGTAAAGATTATTTCTTTTACTTTTAGTATTTTTTTTTTATCTTAAAGATGTAGGGTACAATTCAGGATTAGGTATACAAGTGGACGTTGTACAAGATTATTTCTTAGGCTAGATTTCCCATGTGTTAAAAGGTGTAAATAGGTATATGACACTTAAATTTAGATCCCAAAAAGCCACCCTTCATTTTTTGTAGTTTCAAGTCATCACAAAACCTTAGTCCACACACTGACAGGCCAACATTTGGGGAAGAAACAGTCTGTGTGGCTGCTCATGCATATGTAGCCCCGATCCTCTAAAGGACACATTCATTAGGCTGGGCGTGGTGGCTCATGCCTATAATCCCAGCACTTTGGGAGGTGAGGCAGAAGGGTCACTTGAGCCCTGGAGTTCAAGACCAGCCTAGGCAACATAGTGAGACCTCGTCTCTACAGAATATCAAAAAAATTAGCTGTGTGTGGCAGCACACATTTGTAGTGCCAGCTACTTGGGAAGCTGAAGCAAAGGATCGCCTGAACCCTGGAGGTTATGACTGTGGTGAGCCGTGATCGAGCCTCTGTCCTCCATCCTGGGTGACATAGTGAGACCCCAACTGAAAAAGAAAATTAAAGGACACATTCATTGAACAAACTGTGAGTGTGAGCCAGAACAGGAGATGGCTTTTGGACAGAATGTGTGTGAACCCGTCAGTCTGGTGCAGAGAACCTTGAGCCCTTACCCTTCCAGGGGCGGCTCCCACATTATTTCAAGGAAAAGCAAGGGTCCTGCCAGCGGGCACAGAAGGGAAAGACACTGGACATACTTGGATACGTCTCCTGCAGCTCCTACCTGGAAGCAATTCCCAAGCAGTGTTGGAAGCAACCTAGAATATTCTTGACTCACTTTGTTAATAGCAGGCTCTAAAATTTCCTTTCAGATGCTGTGTGGTCACACTACAAAAGGTAGATATGAGTAGTCAGTAGGTGATTCCTGTAACATCAGGTCAGGGGTATTTTTGTCCCAAAGTGGACACATTATTTTAACTTTCTGATGTCTTAATTTTAGCTAGTTTCTATGCTTCTGCTATGTAGTGACCATTTAAAATGGAAATTAATCATTATTTTGGGATTTAGAGCCACCTTATTGCTTGAATTATTAAGGATTTAAGCCATCAATAGGTCTTTCCCTAGTCAAAAGTAAGAGTTAGAAAAAGGTATTATTTGCCATGATTTGGCAGGTGTCTGGTGGCCTATTTTAGAGTTTTACATGGCAGTGTTTCAAGATAGAAATTGAAGAGTCAGAGAAAATAGCCACGGGACCATTTAGCATGTGTGAGGAAAGAGGGGGCAGGCTCTCTAGCTGCTAAGCCCAGGTTTTTAGAGAAGTGAATAGTTCTGACATCATAAATCCATCCCTGTTTCTACTCAATACTCTTGGCAGGTTGTCATGGGTCATGTACTGTGTCCCTTGGAGGGTGTGCCTGTGTCTGTGAGTGGGTGTGAGTGTGCACCTGTCCTAACTCAGGAGAGCTGTGGAAGAGGTAAGGTTTCTTGGCAAATGGAACAAAGTTGTTGGGCAGAATCATCGGTTGATTCCAATGATGGTGGCAACACAACACTTCTACATTTCCAAAGACAGAAGAAACCCGAGTGTGGCTGTCCCTGTGAGCATTTCATTGGCCATGTCCATCAGGTGTCTGCACCCACCCCTCACTCCGTCCATCAAGGCAGGTGGCCATGATAAGGAATTCTGGAATCTGGAATCGTAGAGTCAGAAGGACCAGGCAGGGTGCAGGAATGAAAGATGGGACTTCCCAGGACCAGAAATTCCAGGGCACATTAACCCAGGTCTGCCCCACCAAAGGGCCCTGCTTTCCTTTCCATGGAAATCTGAGCCCTTCATTTTGTTCCTAAACAATTCCTTTCTGCAGAACAAGACGCCGAGCTAACCGGGAGTGGGAAGGACACCACTCTCGTTCCATCATCTCCTTTCTTGCCTCTGCAGGAGCAGTTTGAGTTCGCGCTGACGGCGGTGGCCGAGGAGGTGAACGCCATCCTCAAGGCCCTTCCCCAGTGAGCGGCACATCCCCCTGGAGCCTCAGGGGTGCCCCCATTCCGTGACTGACGTTGGGAATCATGATGTGACTTCCATTGTGTGTCTTCTGTTGTAACTGCCTAGTCATAGGGTCCCTAAATCTCCTGTAGGTAGTCAGTACAGTTTAGCAGTTAAAATGTGTATTTTTCTTTAACCAAACAAAAATAAAGAGAGACTTGTGGAAACATCCAGGTATGGGAGGAGGGAAATCGGTTCATCTATTTTCACTTTCTTAAACAAAAATTACTTTTTCTTAAAGCACACATTCACATTCTTAATGGCAAGTAATGTCGTATTAATGATGCAGTAATTAGTATATTCAGCACGGTCTCCAGGAAGAGTTTGCTTATAATCTGTAACTTACCAGAGGATGGATTAGTTGTGCCGGGAACGGGCCCAGGGAAAGCTGGTTAGGCACTACATGAAGGCCACCAGGTGTACAAGCCACATTTGGCATTTGTCTTTAAGATGATTTATCATCTTAAAACCACTAGGACAGAACTGTTCATATTCTGCAGCTTTGGAGCAAATAATTTTTTTAAAAATCATTGCAGCATCTCTGTCTGGTTTTATCAGTACTCTGCCCTGAGCACCACGGACAGCTCATGTCAATCACACACATCACCCCAAGGAAGGACACAGGGACTCCCCCAGCCCCATGGGTAGTACCTGCTTCTAAGGCCAGGAGCCTCCCCTGACCTCTCACCCTTGCAAAGTTGTAGATGTGCTCCAATCTTGAGACATATTTTTTACCAAATTGTAAAATATTGACTTTTACATTGCAAAAACAGATACTCCCTAGTGAATGAATACTTTCCTATGAGATAACCCAAATCAGGAAGAACAAATCTGGGCATTTATCAAGCTCTGAGGGTTTCCAAGAGCACACAGCACATCAGGCACCTGTGGTCTTCAGAAAATGCCCCAGGCCCTGCCAGCACCCCAGGAGAAGGCTGTGAGTACTTTCCTTCCTGAAAAGGAGGAAACGCAGGGAGACCGCTTGTTTTGCGTTACCTATGTCAGATCATAGACCTGGAATGAAGGCGAGAGATGCACTTGTCTTGACGTCATGTAAACAGAAGCACACCAATTGCCAAAAATAGCATTTGCGCATCAGATCCTTCATCGCCCCCAGAAGTAGGAGAGTGCACTTCCTAACGCTCAGATTGATGACATCAAAGATGGCATGGAGGTATCAGTACGCTGCGAATTTCATGGGTGGAGTGAAGCACAAAAGGGCGCCTCCATCCTGCTGTGTCCCACCTTATTACTTCTATCTTAAATAGATCTTACACGTCAAAAAGCAGCATAACAGGGAAAGTGGCCTACTAAACAGAAAGATGCCAAAATATTGTTGATGTCTTTAAGTGGTATTGTAATATAGATCTGCTTTAATGTATCATTTCTCTTCCAAAATTATTTCTCTCTATCTGGAAATGAAATAATGAATATAAATGAATTTATCTGAATATAGGAAACATATACTTACTTGTAATTTCTAACTTCTTATGTTTCAAAAGAAATCCTCCAGTGTGAGATATATAGATATATTTAATGGTGTCATATTAAACTTCTGATTTCACATTTGAATGGTGTTTATTTGGGGAAGAGAGAGCAACTGGTTTCTATCCATCGTTTTGTTTCCCACAGGCATTGAACATTTAGATTGCTAAAACAAAGCATGGGCATTTCCCAGAACTCTCTGTTGCACTGCCACTTTATTTTTGGCGTTAGACATGTACTGAGGGCCAGGATGTCACTGAGGCTTTATTCTTTAAAACAGGATTCAACAACCTCAGTGAAGAGCCACGGATGCCGTCCACGCTGCACACGCACTCTGTGCCCCCTCCTTGCGCTGGCACTGCCTAGGAGTGGGGGGGTAGATGTCCCCTTCATCTCTATTCTCAGTCCTAAAGGAGGACCTGTCCTCACCCTAGGTGACAACAGAACTTTGTCCTCATGAGTCTCATATGCATTTCCTCTTAAGCTTTGATCCCATCCAGGGACTTGCCCATTTGTTCTCAGTGGGACTGGAGACCTCGTCCCTCCCCCTTTCTCCCCCAGTCACACAGTCACATCTCTCCACCTCACAGGAAGATACCTGAGGGGCATTTCAAACCATAACCAAGGGAAAGGCAATCAGGGTATAGACTATGGCGCGACAGCTTACTTCCATCCTACATACAGCTCTCCTAACTGGCAACAACAAGAGATGAAGACAGTTCTTCACAAAATCGGATCACTCTTGAGCAGTACCCAACAGCTGGAAGGGCTTGGTGTTGTTGCAGTAAAAGTTATTTCAGTGATGATCATTAAAGCAGAGCAAGGAAGACTATGCAGAACCCTAGCTCTAAGTCTAGGGGCCACTGCAGTGGGAGAGAGTTAGGCTTTCCTCGATTTCCTCAGTGGCTATAAAGGAATACCTGAGGCTGGGTAATGAATAAAGAAAAAGGTTCATTGGCCTCATGATTCTGCAGGCTGAACAAGAAGCATGGCATCAACATCTGCTCAGGCTGCTCCCACTGACCGCGGAAGAAGAAGCAGAGTCATTGCCTGCAGATCACATGGTGAGAGAGGAAGAGGGGAGGGAGGCCAGGCACTCTTTAATAACCAGCTCTCAGCTAGGCTTGGTGGCTCAGCCTGTAATCCCGCGCCTTTGGGAGACTGAGGTGAGTGGATTGCCTGAGCCCGCGGGTTCGAGACCCACCTGGGCAACTTGGCGAGACCTCATCTCTACAATAAATCAAAATGAGCCAGGCGTGGTAGCGTGTGCCTGTAGTTCCAGCTACCTGGAAGGCTGAGGCGGAAGGATCGCCGGAGCCCAGCAGGTCGAGGCTGCGGTGGCCGGGAGCGGCCATTGCACTCCAGTCTGGGCGACAGAGTGAGACTCCAACTCAAAAAAATAAATAAATAAAAAATAACCAGCTCTCTCAGGCACTGATAGAGGGAGAACTCACTCGGGCAGCCCCCCTCAGTGAGGACCTTAATCTGTTTGTATGGAATCCACCCCATGACCAACACTAAGCCCCACCTCTAATACTGAGATCAAATTTCAACAAGAGGTTGGGAGGGTCAAATATCTAAACCACAGCGGTGCTCAACTCTAAATTCAGCACATGCCAGTGGGAATTTATAGCCAGGACCAGCGTGGGGGGTCAGTGGGTAGGAAATTACTACAAAATATCCGAGAGTCAGGGAATCTGACTAAACCAACCTAACAACATTCTTGCTGAAGGCAGGCCAGGGTGATGAGACATTACCCAGGACAGGGTGGAGGGTGACAGAACCCGAAATTGAGGGTGATCAGATATAAGGATGGGGAAGTTCTTAGAAAACTGACCCAGCAGGGTTTTTAGCTAAAAATGAATTATGCAAGAAATACACAGACAGGCCTAGGAGAAGTTTCAGACACCTGACTACAATTTGGCTAAGCAAAGAATCTTTGTCATCCTCCCTCTTGGTCAAGAAAAGAAGAAAATTTTGTTCATGACAGACCTGCTGAATCATCTGCTAAAACTTGGTAGAAGAGGAAATCTGGGTGATGTGAGCCATTGGGTCTTTGATGCAGGGAGTTCGTTTCTATAAAAATAAAGGAATAGGGCCAGGCTCAGTGGCTCAGCCTGTAATCCCAGCAGTTTGGGAGGCCAAGGCAAGTGGATTGCCTAAGCCCGCAGGTTCTAGACCAGCCTGAGCAACTTGGCGAGACCTCGTCTCTACAATAAAATCAAAAAAACTAGTCAAGCATGGTAGCGCATGCCTATAGTTCTGGTTACTTGGAAGGCTGAGGTGAAGGATCGCTGTAGCCCAGCAGGCCGACACTGAGGTGGCCATGAGTGTGCTACTGCACTCCAATCTGGGCAACAGAGTGAGACTCCAACTCAAAAAAAAAAGAAAAAAATCACTTTTTTTAAAATGTATTTTTCATGGTGGCTCGTGCCTATAATCCTAGCACTTTGGGGGGCCAAGGCAGGAGGATTGCTTGAGTCCAGGAGTTCGAGACCAGCCTGGGCAACATGGTGAAACCTCGTCTCTACAAAACATTTAAAAAATTAGCCAGGAGTAAGGTGTAGACAAAATCATTAGGAAGTGTTACGTTTTGAGTATTTATTATTCATTTTTTTTGTTTTTGTTTTTGAGTTGGAGTCTCAGTCTGTCGCCCAGGCTGGAGTGCAGTGGCCACTCCCGGCCACCGCAGCCTCGACCTGCTGGGCTCCAGCGATCCTTCCGCCTCATCCTTCCGAGGAGCCGGAATTACAGGCGCACGCTACCATGCCCGGCTAATTTTTTGATTTATTGTAGAGATGAGTTTTAATATAATGTTTGTTGATATCATTTGATTTTGAATAACAGCAATATTTATCAAGCAGCCTATAAAATTTCTAAAAACTTAACAGTCTGCTTCTGCAAGTTGGTCCAAGCTGGTTGCAACACACCTGCCTCAGGATGACATGGCAAAGAGCAGAGTCTGGAATACAACCCTCTCCCGCTGTGCAAGAAAAGTCCTATGCTACAGGCAGGTGTGGAATCTAGCTGACCCTAGGCATAGGAAGCCAAGTCGAAAAATGGGGTTGAAACTGATCCAAGCCAGTGAAAGCCCCAGGGTTTCCAAGATGAGTAAAGGTCACCCACATGTATGGTCCTTCCACAACCCACAGAAAAGATGGCCCCATGAAGATTAGCTCTTAATAAATAATCATGGCCAGGCTCGGTGGCTCGGCCTGTAATCCCAGCATTTTGGGAGGCCTGGGTGAGTGGATTGCCTGAGACCGTGGGTTCGAGACCAGCCTGGGCAACTTGGCGAGACCTCATCTCTACAATAATTTTTTTAAAAAATTAGCCTGGCACGGTAGTGCACTCCTGTAGTTCCAACTACTTGGAAGGCTGAGGTAGAAGGATCGCCGGACAAGTCGACACTGGAGTGGCCATGAGTGTGCCAAGGCACTCCAGCCTGGGCGAGAGTGAGACTCCAACTCAAAAGCAAAACAACATAAAACAAAAATATAAATAAAAATAAACAATCACAAAGCCCACAAGGAAATGAGAATGGGTAGAGACAGGGAGTGCCATCTGACATGTGAAGATACGCAGAGAATGCAGTGCAAAAAGGCAACCAAATCACTTTAACATCTTTAAATGGCATATAAGAAGAGCAGCATTTTTAAAAAGAACAAATGGGTTTGAAAAAAGACCAAACAAAACTTCCAGAGATGAAATCAAAAGGGAACAATTATTTTAAAATTAGAGAAGGCATATTTATATAATACAAGGTGAAGTTAGAAACTCTGTATCTAGGTAAGCAGCCAATACACATATGAAAACATGCTCAACATCACTGATCATCAGAGAAATGCCAATTAAATCCACAATGAAATACCATCTTATACCAGTCAGAACAGCTATTATTAAAAACTCTAGAAACAACAAATGTTGGTGAGGATGCAAAAAAAAGCAGGGGGGGATTGTTCATATACTGTTGGTAGAAATGTAAATTAGTATAACCTCTATGGAAAATAGTATGGAGATTTCTCAGAAAACTAAACCACTCTATCCAGCATCCCACTACCAAGTGTCCATTAATGAATGATTATTTATTTTATTTATTTTTTTTAGTTGGAATCTTACTCTGTCACCCTGGTTGGAGTGCAGTGGCACACTCACGGCCACCACAGCATCGACCTGCTGAGCTCAAGATATCCTTCCGCCTCAGCCTTCCAAGTAACTGGAACTACAGGCATGCGCTGCCACACCCAGCTTTTTTTTTTTTTCATTTATTGTAGAGACAAGGTCTCACCAAGTTGCCCAGGCTGGTCTCAAACCCCTGAGTTCAAGCAATCCTCTCACCTTGGCCTCCCAAAGTGCTGGAATGACTGGCTTGAGCCACCGCACTCGGCCTGAATGATTAGGTTTTAAAATGTGGTATATAGATATAAATATGGCCCCATATGCAGATATAGACCATGGGATACTATGTAGCCATTGAAAAGAATGAAATCATGCCCTTTGCAGCAGCATGGCTAAAGCTGAAGGCCATTATCCTAAGTGAAATAACTCAGAAACAGAAAGACATAAACTCACTTGTGAGAACAAACAGTGGGTGCACATGGACATAGCATATGGAATAACAGATACTAGAGACTACGGAATGTGGGAGGGAGGAGGGGCCAAGGGATGAAATACTGCCTACTGAGTACAATGTTCGCTATTTAGGTGATAGGTACAACATATCCAGGTAACACAACTGCACCTCAATCTTTTTTTATAGAGTCAGGATCTCGCTATGTTGCCCAGGCTGGTCTTAAGCGCCTGACCTCAAGCTATCCTCCCGCCTCAGCCTCCCAAAGTGCTGGGGTTACAGGCACAAGCCATTGTGACCAGCCACCTAAATCTTTTTTTTTTTCAACTCAGCAACTGGGTCAAACAGAAGATTGGTTACAGCTGGAAACTCAAATAGCAAAATAGAAGATAGGGCTGAGAACTTCACTCATGAAATAAAAATATACAAGAGAAATTAATGAGACACAGTGAGCATAATGTGAGTTCCAGAAGACGAAAATGGAAGTCAGTGCCAAGTGATCTTCAGGGAT